GCACTCTCCCGAGTGCGCCACGGGGTCGGCCCTCAGCTATCAATCTTTAATTCATTTTTAGTTCCATTTCCCTTTGCAGTTGTTTTGAATGGTTTTTCTATTCTATTAAAATCTCCAGTTGTTCTTTGCTCTTTTTACTTTTTTAGCAAATGGTACTGTTTCCCACTTTAGTGTCAGATAAGTACAGGTTGGAATCCTGGGTGTAGCACTTACTATCAAGGCTGATAGCCAGTATACATCTGAGTCTTCCCTTTCCCTGCTCAAGACCCCAATTGTCCTGATCTCTCCTGTGGACCTCCCCATGATACCACAACTAAAAGACTGGAGCAGAACCCAGCTCCTCCAGCATCTGCGGGTGTCTGTTCTGAGTGGCGATGCTGGTACAGTACTGGTTATTAAATACTTTTAATTTCATCCTTGCTTATTATAAGTATGACTTTAATTAAGTTACTATCCTCTCTGAGTCATCTCCTGATCTTTAGAATGGGGATAATAATACCCATATTACAGGGTGTCTCTTTGTTCATTCATCAAATATTTGTTGAGGGCTTGTCTTGTGCTAGGCAACAATTTTGGTGCTTAGGATATATTGGTTAAAAAAAAAACAACAAAAATATCTGTGCCTTCTTGGAGCTTGTGTTCTAAAATTGTGAAGATTAAATGAAAGTTAATGTTAAATGTTCAATATGGTGTCAGATACACAGAGGTGCACACAGTGTCTTGGTCCACCTTCTTCCCCTTTATCATACTGTTTCCATCAGGGCCAAAGGGAGTGGAGTAGTGGGGAAAGCTTCATATTTGATTTGTATAGCTATGCAGCATAGTCAGGCCCCAGGTCCTCTTTGAGGAGGCCATGCCCACTTATTAGTATTGGGTCCTAAAGAGGACCCGTGGTGTGGCTATACTGCATGGCTATACAAATCAAATATTACACTTTTTTCTTTTTTTCAAATGCTAGCTGCCCCTGCTCTTGATGGTCTTGGTTGTCTACCTGTGCTTACATTTTCTCCCATCTCGCTTGGATATAGTGCTATCTGTTCATCCTCATTCTCATATTCTCAAGTCACTACTCCACCCCCTCAACTCCAACCCCATTCTACCTCCTCAGATCATTATCATATCTTTTGCACTAAAGACAAAAAAAAATCTTTACGCATCTGCTCTTTGTTCTTTAGGGTATGAACCAAGCTTTCTCCTTCCTTCCTTTTACCAGAAGACATTTAATGTTGTCTCTACCCACTCACTGTGTCAATTCTTTTCAGTCTTTCTGTTCCCACTCCAAATGCTGCAGTCCTGTCAGGGATCATCCGGGACCTCTTGTTTGTTTTTTGTTCTCTTTCTACTCAGCTTCTTTGTAAGTGACATTTGTTATTGTTAAGACCATATGAACCAAGTGGACTTATGGCCTCATTGACCTGGGTTTGAATCCTAATTCTGCAACATAAGGGGCCTTGGGCGGGTTTCCTCATCTTCAAAATAATGTAATAATATTTATCTTTTGAAGTCATTGAAGGATTAGAAAGCTACAACACCTAGCACACAGTCAGTAAGTACAAAGGGAGTTAAGTAAAAAGTAGCTACTGTTACTGACATTTTTGAAAGTGCACCTGACACTATTCTTTCATGTTCTTCATCTTACTTTCCTGATAGTTTATTTTGTCTTAGTTGGCTATATTGACTTTTTATTTTCTTTCCCAGATTATGGATCTTGTCACTTTTTCTGAGTGTTCCTAACAAAATCTTATGGTTTCAGCTATCCCCTTTGTAATTGATAATTCCAGATGTTCACCTTCAATCTATATTCTTCCCTGAATGCCAGACATGAATATCTAGCTGTATGCTAGACATGAAAGAAACATTTGTCAAATGATTAGGAATAATAATCAGGAAGGAGTCTCTGCATTTGATCCGTAGAGGAAAAAAAAACATTCTTACTTGGCAACCTTATTAGTTTCACTTATTAAGTTAGAAAAATTTTGAATGACTTACTTTTGGACATCTAATGATCCTTTTAAGTAAGGGAAAGAAAATCCTTTCTATTCAGAAATAACACAACTATTGATTAGCAGGAGATTTTTTTTTCATGTGATACTGGAAAAGATTTGCAACACCTCTTTCCAAAGAAAGCGAGAAAAATATTGCATGTTTTTTCCCCCAAAATGTATATTGTCCAAATTGCAATGGACACAAAGAACATTCCTTAAGTTTGGAATGAATAGAACTTTCTAAAAAGTGCTTAGGTAACACAAAGTAGTAAAGATCCAAAAAAACTTCTAAACTCCAACTGCTGAAAAGAGAAAATGAAAGGGTTTGTAGAAGCAATTTTCACAGAAGTAACTGAAGACTTACTTGTCAGATCCAAATATACATATAGAAAAATGCACAAACATGGTTAAATTTACATATGTTGGAGTTTTTTTTTTCTTCTTTGACTGGAATGTGTTTCTTATATGGGTTTTATCCATTACTGTCTGGCTATGCTACTCGACTACAGCTATTGCTGAGGCCTGGAATCCTGCTCACAGTGCCAATTGTCTAGCTCTTAATCCTGTTCATGATGCCAATTGTAAAGCTAGGTGACCATGCTAGTTGTTGCAGCTCTTTTACCTGCCGGTAATCCTGCACTGACTGGGCCAATGGTTGAGCTAAGGCTGGGTCTAGAACTCCCAGACCCCTCAAGCCCATTCACAGACTGGGTCACAAACCCTTCACATGCCAGGCTGGGTCACCAGACCCCTCACACGCAGGTCTAATGAGCTAGGTAACCAGCAAATAGGTCCTTGGAAGCTGTAGGTTGGACAGCATGGCTTCGTGGACAGGAGCTGCTCCAGGCAGACGCCAGCCAAGGTGGCGGCACCATGTATGCATACCAACTCCACCCACACACACACAATTTGTTTACTGAACCAACTCCAACTGGCCCTGAGGCAAGGGGAGCCTGATTAAATTATTCTATTTTCCCAACAGTGTTAATATGTTTTGGAAATTTAATGGCTCTCAACCTATTAGTTTGCTTTTAACCTCCTAAATCTGCATTATTCAGTAGGAGAGCCACTAGCTACATGTAGCAATTTAAAATTAAATTAATTAAAATAAAATAAAATTAAAAATTCAGTCCTTCAGTCACACTAGCTACGTAGTAAGTGCTCAGTAGCCTCAGGTGGCTAGAGGCTACTATACTGGGCATTTCTTTTATCACAAAAAATCTACTGGATAGCACTGCCCTAAATGAAATTATTTTCTTGCCTCTCTCTCCCATCAGAATAAAGCTGGTTTATATTAATATGTAATTAACTTTAAGGTTTTTTTTTTAATCAACAGTTTGAAAGGCAGGCTACAGTAATATTCCTTTGCTCTTTACATAATTAAAAAGACAGTTCCACTCTTTTATAATGATATGCCTGAGTGCTATTATTTTATAAGATTTTCCAAGAGGTGGTGACTAAAGTAAGTCACCATATGGCTTGCATTCGATACCCTGTACTAAACTCTTGAGTTTTAAGATTATTTCTACTCTATATAAGTGTGTTCTGGAAGGACCCAAAGTGTAATAATAAAATTTCTAATATGGAAAGGAGTTAATAAACTTATTGTTATTATGGTTTATCTACTTCATATGTGATATATCATCATAGCTCTCAAAAGCTGCAAGAAAGGAAAACTCCCCAAAATAATTATTTCAGTGTAGGCCTTCTTCTTTGAGAAACTGTCAACCAGGCATAAAACCAGGCATAAAGTTTAGTTTTTAATGCTATATTTTTTGTTTTAAATAGAATAGGAAAATAGGCTTTCTTTTGCCCCAATTTCAAACAATCTCTTTACTATAGATAGGCCCTTTTCAGGTATGTTGTATGCATAATTTCAGGAAACATAATGAAAAATATTTCACTGTGATAAAGCATTTTTAAAAATTCAAATGTAATAGTCTTTTGTTTTAATGTAAAATATTCAAACATGGAAGTATATACAGTAGGAAAAGGAGTCTTCTACATGATTTGTATTGATATCATCTCTGGGAATAACTACTTAAAAGTTGGCTATAAATTTTTCCACGTTTTCCAGTGTATGTTTATACATCAACACAAACAATTTGTATTAGGTAAATGAAATTATATATAATGTTTTTACAGATTATTTTGCCTGCTTAACAATATAATAGACATATTTAAATGTATATGATCCATATTCATACTGTTGATTAGATTTCTTGTTTTTAATTTTTCCAGATATTGTGGTAGGGAATATGAAATATGAATATGTTCTTAAGTGAAGATAATATATACTTGTAATATATATGCAAGTGCCTTAGCAAGGTGGTGACCTATAATAGGTGATTAATAAATGTTTTTGTTCTTCTTCTTGGACCGGTATGAGAAGGGCCATGTAAGATGATTGTTTCTTTTGAGTAGTGGAGCTTTAAGGACTCACAGTAAATATCCACAAAGAGCCATGTATAAATCTTTTAACTATAAAGTAGACCTTTCTCTTAAGCATGTTTGTGTTTTCTGATTCAGGGTTATAAATTCTCCAAGTTTAGCAGGATTACTCTTTAAGTATCTTGTAAGCTAGGCTGCACCGATAATTTTAGGTGCTTCCAGTAAGAACAAATATTTTTTTACTGGTGAATATGAGTCCACATTATGATTTATCCTTTACTGAGAACTCATAGTATATTATATACTATAAAGGTGTACAATATGTGAAAACTTTTTACATGAGACTCTTGGAACAAAGTCACAGGTGTCTAACTCCTTTGCTGACTTTGAAGATGTGTAGAATGGATGTTGAGAAGGAAATCCAACACTGGTATCATGGAGTGGAATATGTACATGTGTGATTTGTGATACAATTTTAGATCTGATGGTTTCTAGTGGTTTTAGAGAAGAGACTAGGGTGGATTTGGACCTGATTGTTAATTATTTGTAAAGTCCTATTTTGAAGTATGATTGCTTTTTACTCAGTGTCTCATTTGGAAATCTGATCCTTCTGCTTTCCTGCAGGGAAGTTGTGGACCTCTGTTTTGGGTGGATCAGTAAAGAGGATGCAATTGGGACCCCGAATTCTTTTCTTATTGAGAAAAGGGTGAAGGGTGCTGCTGAGAGAAGTGCTTCTACAGTAGCCATGACTGGAGCTTTGCTTGGAGGTAATGCTGGACTATGCAAAAATTGCCTTCAAGATTCCAGGAGTTTGTGAATTATAAATTTGTCTTAGCAATTTGCATGGGTATCTTCAGTCTGTTTATCTTCGTTACAGTTTGTGTTCCCAGTGGAAAACAAGCTTGAGAAATATTTGTTAGAGTATAGAATTGTAAGTGCTTTCCTAGCACGTTCTTGGACATCAGATTATTTGCCGCCCCCCCCCCTTTTTTTTTTTGTCTTTTCTTGGTGTATTTGATTGAACTTGAGCCTTTTAGAGAGGAAAATCACTTAAAAGTTTTCAGGATATAAATTTGTGATTACATAAGATTATTATTTACATGCTTCAGTGGCTTTTGCTTACCTATTTATTCGTTTTCTCATTCATTCATTCCATAAATATTCCTTGAAAGGCTTACTGTTAAGCAAGATTATGGGGGGAATGCTATTAGATGGTAATCTTCTCAGGATAAAGGGAGAATGGAAAATTTATTCTGCAGAGACACCAAAGGCTGAAGTGCCTGTGTGTTTTAGAGAGAGACAGACACACATCTAAGTGTACATACACAGACATGGTCCACAATTCTATAGGAACAACCTCCTCACGATCTTTAGAATCTATCTCTTCTTCCTATTTGCACTTTTATTTATTCATTTCCAGCACTCAACATTTCTCGTATACGTTAGTAGTTCTTGCCTCTGGCCTTTCCCTCTATTTTATGTTCATACTGCCTTTTCCTTTCACAGCTCTTCTCAGAGTCCCCCTCCCCTCTTAAAGCACAGATTGGATTGTGTGTCTCCTTGTTACCCACAGAATAAAGTCCAAAATTTTAAGTATGTAGTTTTAAATAGACTGTAAATAGCTCTTTCATTAAACTCTCCTTCGTTACTCCCAACTTGCCTTACCTTCTTCTGCTCCAGTTCTGGATAACCCTCCATTTGCCCCCGCTGAATTGCTTTTTATCATTATCAACCTTGTCCTCTGTGTCAGGAGGCTGACCTTGCCCTTTGGCTTCTAGACAGGTTTGGACAATGGAAAGCACTGGCAGGAGGAGAGTGAGGTTGCAGTGCTGATTCTCCTGGCTTTCTCCTGCCAAATCATGCCACGCTTGCTCTCCCTGAGGTAATGGCTCCTATTTAGTGGCCCTCTTTGTACCTTTTAAACCGGGGGTGGGGGTGGGGTGGTAGCAGTTTTAGGAGGTTGCACTATCTCTTGACTTTGCTCACACCTTGTAAATAGTCCCTTTCTTAAGCTACCCATAAATTACACAGTTTTTGAGTGTGCTGTCAGTTTCCTGCTGGGATCCTGACTGCTATGTTGCCTAAACCTAAGCCTCAGTCATGCTTGCAGTTACAGCTGTGTTATTTTCCTGTAGCACTGATCTCCTTCTTTTATTAAAAATTCTTTGGTGAGGTCTTTTTAATTCCTTCCCTCTTTTAGTCTTTCTTTCCTTTTTTCTTTCCTGGCATTGTAGCTGCTGTATCATAAGAATTGAAATGTTTGAATGAATAAGGAGAGGATGGACATCTGAGTTTCCCTGTGGTATACTGTAATATTTATTTAGATGTCTGAAATGAGATCTTGAGAGAAAATAGGGGAAGGGAGTGGGCATTGAAGTCAGTATTAATAACATAGATTTTTATTTTATTCTTTGCAAAAAGAAAATTTAATACTTGTTTTTCTTTATCTTTGCTTCTACATATTAGAGATTAACATTGGTTTACTTCAGTCTTTCTCTTTTCTGTAAAATGCATTTTAGATGTATCCTATTGGAATATTTTGTAACAACACATCTTTGAGGAACTATATACTACATATAAAATGGGAGAGATTTCAGTTATCACTTAATTAGAGGAGAATATAGGAAACATGTATATGTATACATCTATCCAGGTACAGGTTGAACATACCTAATCCAAAATCTGAAACACTTTTGGTCCCAAGCATTTCAGATAAGGGATACTCAACCTGTGTTCATTTATCTGTCTTTCTCAACATATCTTAGAAGGAATGCAGTAAGGGCAGACATGTAGTAGCTAACAGTTATATTTAGCAAGATTGAAATAATATGTGTGGCACTGTCAGTCATGGTCCTGATAGGAAACTGATGGCACATTCAAACTGGATAATTTGAGGAGGATTAAATGAAGGAACTATTTATAAATATGTGAGCAGAATTTAGAAAATCAACTAGGGATAGTGTAGTACCCTGGGCCAGCAACAGCGAGGATGGAATGATGCCCCTTAGAGCCAAGGGGCAAAGTGAAGGAGTGGTTGCTGGAACCCCAAAAAGGGAGCTGTGTGGACAAGGCTACCTGACAGCAGCTGTGGTCCCTGGTAGAGGATTAAAACCCATGGTGACTCTGCAGGAGGGGAGCCTGTCCCTGTGCTCTTTCTGTCCTTTGACTTCTGCCAGTGTCACCACCCCCACACCCTCCATTGGTCAAACCTAACTGGGAGACAGAGGGCAAGCCCATAGATAAAGTCTGTAAGTCGGCCTCTTAGGGCATAGTGCTGAGTGAAGAAGGGTAGAAAGTGCATCAGAAAGATACCTGCAAAAGAATTAAAACACTTTGCTTTCTGGTAGTAACATATATACATGAACTATTGTGGATCTGTTACTGTAACAGATGAAAGCTCGTTGTGAGATTATTATAGAATTTTAAAAGTGACTTCTCAAGGAATTTTAATTAAGAGAAAAATGTCCTAGAATTGTGATTAGGATCAAAAATAGTGTCGGTATCCTTTAGATATTAAGAATGTACCTGTCCTGTGAAAGGGTTTATTTGGAGAAGAATATTTCTATAACACTAATTTTAATAAAGAACCCTCCATCACTACTCTAAAAAATTACCATTAAAATAATCTCTATAGCAGGTGAAGAATATTCCATTGCTTTTAAGAGTAGAGGTATCTGTTTATGCTGGAGAGATGGGTACGCCTCTATGCATGTATTTGTGTATAATATATATGAGCAATAGAGGACATCATTGTGACATATTTAACTGGATGAAACGATGTTCAGACAATGACAACCCAATATTGAAGCTCAATGTTGAAGTTTCTTCATAAAGATATCATTGTTGTATTAGTGGAGATGGTATAATATATATTCTCACAGGTTTCTACTGATTACCTTTTTCCTCAGAGGTTATAGTTTTTGCTCAGTTCTCATTCTCCTTGATGTCTTAGCATTTGACATCCTACATTTACCTGTATATATATTAGATACTCAGAGCTTTGGTTTTAGTGCCACAACATTGTCCTGTTTCTCTATTATTTATCCTTTTGGCAAAGAATGGCCAGTATATGCTGCTGAACAAGACAGATACAACAACCCCTGCCTCTGGAGTGGGTAATCATCCTGTCTTCCTCCCTTTCCTATAGTCTTTCTTCATGATTTCACTATGGATGTTAGCCCTTAGCTAATTGCTCTGCCTCTGTTACAACAACCCCTGCCTCTGGAGTGGGTAATCATCCTGTCTTCCTCCCTTTCCTATAGTCTTTTTTCATGATTTCACTATGGATGTTAGCCCTTAGCTAATTGCTCTGCCTCTGTTACTTTTGACTTTATTCTTTCTCTGAGAACGGTTTTCATTCTCCTGGCTTAAGTTACAACTTCCAATGCCAACAACTTACATTTCCCTCTCTGCTAGTTATCTTTACCCTGAATTTTATTCATTTAGCCATTCAATAAATTTTTATTCAGATCTAACTGTGTGTCTGGTGCAAAGGGTACAAAAATGATAAAGACAGTCCTTGCCCTCAGAGTTGCTGACAGACATGCAAAAAGCAATTTAAAATACAGTGTGATAGACATATGTACAAAGTGCCATGGGACAGGTAAGAAGGGAATGCCTGACCTGGACTTGAAGGAGAAATGAGAGGGCATGTATCCATGGTAGAAGGCTGAGCATAAATGAAGGCATAGTATGTTAGGGCCACAGCGAATGGTTCATTGTGTTTGGAGTCTTAAGGGCTGCATGGCGGAGAGTGGAAAGTGAGGCTGAGCATTTAGGAAGGTGCCAGATTGCTCGAAAGGCAGTACCCTCAATACTAAACTAATGTTCTCCCACCATAAACAAGCTCCCCTTCAACTTCACATTTCTAACAGTGGGACCATCATTCTCCCTACACTTCCAAACCCTAAAGTGTCATCTTCAGGTCTGCCTCAGCAATTGTGATCAGTCCTCAAGTTGTGTCATTTCTATATTCAAAACATTCTTCCCTGCATCTTTTTCTATTTTCACTATCAGCACACTATTTATCACCTAATTACTGGGTTATTTCAAAGTTGTATTATGTACTCCCCTTTCTTCTCTCTCTCTCTCCCCCCTCCTTCCCTCTCTTTCTTGAAGGAATTTCTAAAACTCCTCATTTACCATGTTGCTGACCCGGAGCAAAAGAGGACAGTAATATTTTATTTCTTACAGGATAAGTCCTTTCTTAGGTCAGTATTTTAAACCTATAATCCTTTGATAAACACAAAAATCTCAAGCCCTCTTACTACCATTAAAAACCACAGAATTGTAGAGTTCAGAAATAATCTGCAGCAAAGAAGACTTTGTTCCATTAACTTTGAGTTTTTATTATGAACACAACATGTATTATATACTTAACGAGCTGTTCTAAATCATATATTCCTTCCCTCAATTCTAACCTGTTAATATAGCCAGATTGCTTGTCTCCATGGGAGGCCATATATTCACGGACTCTAGAAACAGATAGTCTGTGTTGGATCCTGGTTCCACCACTTAACTGGTTTCAACCATGTTCCTCATTTCTCTAAGCTTCAGTAACTTTATGTGGGAAATGGGGGTAGTGATAGTACCTAGTTCACAGGGTTGAGGTAAAGATTGAGTTAACCTGTGTAGCCTAGTGCCCAGCATGTATGAGCATGAAGTATATGTTGGCTATAAATGTTATGTACCTTGAAAACTGCTTGCTCATTCCCTCTGTGCTCTTGATGCAATTCTCACACTGCCTACCCTCTACCACTAAATGCTCTCCTCGTGCCCCTCCAATTGCCTGTGATTTACCTGCCCTTTCAATTGCAACTCAGTTGGTCCCTCTTTGACAGTCTTTTCTAACTACTCCAGTTCACATTGACCTCTGAATTCCTATATGTTCCTTTATGTGATTCTAGTAATTAGTCATATTTCTATTTTTATGGCATATTTTTGCCTTTTATGGTATTTCTTTTAAAATTTACATACAGTAAAATAGAGTTGTGGAATTACCATCACAATCAAGATACAGAGCAGTTTTATCATGCCCCCCCCCTCAAATCTATCTTGGTATTTCTTTTTAAACAGTTTCCTAAGTATACATTCTGTTTGTAGAAGTACAATTTAGGTTCTTGAATCCAGTATCTGTTTTACACTAATTTGTCTCCACTATGTATGACCCAGCCTAGCATTGAGCATATAGTAAATAAGTAGATGCTTGAATTAATTGTATAAAACAAAGCCAAAAAAGCATGGTAAATTTGAATGTATTAATAAGCCACTGGGGCTGGCCAATTAGCTCAGTTGGTTGTAGCACAGCCTTATTATACCAAGGTCACAGGTTCGGATCCCTATACTGGCTAGTCACCAAAAAAAAAAAAGCCACTAATTTAAGTTACTTAACTTTGGTCTTTCAGGGTCATTTTATTTAGGTAAAAAATTTCTGCTGAAAATAATTTCTGTATATCTTGTTAATTAGCCTCACCAGGGCTAACTAAACCCATTTTTTTGTGTTTGGAAAACAAAAAGGGTTGTTTTCTTTCTGTTTTTATTATCAATTTTATTTATGGTTTTTATTTTTTTTCTAACCCTATGAGTTTAAGTTCTAATGTGAAGCAAATGTTTACATCTTTCTTCTTGACTACATTTGACTCTTATGATGCTATTATTAAATTTATTTACAGAATTTTACCTTTTTTCTTAAACAAATTTAAGATATTGAGCAATTCAATTAAAAGTGAATTAGATACAGAACATAAAATGGAAAACCTTTTTGCTTTCTCAATTTTATTTTTTCATGGGCTAATTTTGCTCTCTTCCCTGGGGTTTTTTTAAATTGATTTTTCCTTAAATCAGAGGTCAATGCAAGTAAGAGAATTTATGCTTGGATAAAAGCAAAGCTGATATAGACAAGCAAATGCTACATGGTTTCCTCAGTCTTCATGATTGGGTATTATGGAGTATTGACCTTTCTCCAGAATGGGCGAAATATGGTTGTGATTTACATCCCATTCAGTAGACTTTATTCCCTAACAAACTGAACTGAATTTAATCATGTGTGTCTTTTCTTCCCTTCCCCAACAGCTTCCATGCCTATGGCTGTTCTAAAATTGGGCCAAATATATCCATTTCAGAGAGGCTTTTTCTGTAAAGACAACAGCATCAACTATCCGTACCATGACAGTACCGTCACATCCACTGTTCTCATCATAGTGGGGGTTGGCTTACCCATTTCCTCTGTAAGTAAATTAATAAGTAGGTAGTGATTGGTTTGTGGTGCTAGGGGTTTGGATGAAGTGATGGAGTTGGGGTGGGGGTAAATCCACAATACTGTCTTCACCAGTGTTGATGTGGTGAATGATTGCTTGAGGAATATACCCACTGTTTTAATCCAGGGGCAATGTTTCTCCAGTTAAAGATGGATTTCTATATGTTGATTTTAAGTCCTGTTAAAAAAAAAAAAAGGATTTTACTCAAAACAACTTGATATCATCTTGAAGAATTATAGAATGATTATTTTAGAATGAAAGGGTTCATTTAAATCATTTGGACCAATTCATTTCAGTATACAAGAGAGGAAACTTAGGCCCAAACACTCGCTCAAGCCCAGTAAGCTATTTTATGGTAGAGCTGAAACTAAGATTACTTTATCATACTAGTAAGTGGAAATTGAAGCCATGAAAAATGAGGTAGGTTTGCTTATTAAACTTGAGAAAACAAAAAACTCAGCAGAAAGATTATAAATACATATACAAAATAAAATCCTCAGAATACCTTAAAACTGTATCACTATTTGTTAAGTTGTACATCCATTAGATAGTTTATCAGTTTGTAGGATAATATTGAGTTTCACTATTTTTGATAACTGGAAACTTTCATTCTAGGTTACGATTCAAAAACTAGGTTAAGATTGCCACTTAGGATATTGTGTCTTTCTTTATCCTTGGCCCTGATTCCTAAACCTTGCCCTTTGTCTTTTTATGTGACTTGGAATAGAAAGGAAGGAGCAGGGCAAAGATTTACCTCCTTGAGAGTCTTGGGAGTGCAGAAGATCACACCATATTTCTCCTTTGGCCACCTATCTCTTGTCAGTTGGCTTCCCTAGATACTTATAAAATTTTAATGTCTTGTTGTTTGAGGGAAGAAAAATAAAATAAAATTTTAGTGTCTCAGTAAACTCAGCAGGCTTGCGTCCCAATAGGACTTTTCTATCCTTTTTTTGCCTCCATATTGGCTAAGAATAATAATCTATGGGCTGGCTGGATAGCTCATTTGGCTAGAATGCAGCCTTATAACACCAAGGTCAAGAGTTTGGATTCTGGTATTAGCCAGCCACCCAAAATAATAATAATAATAACAACAACAACAACAAGAACAACAACAACAACAACAACAACAACCACCACCACCACCACCACCTAGTTCTTTAGTTTTCCAGGCACCAAGGTCAAGAGTTTGGATTCTGGTATTAGCCAGCCACCCAAAATAATAATAATAATAATAATAATAACAACAACAACAACAACAACCACCACCACCACCACCTAGTTCTTTAGTTTTCCAGGTCATATGTCTGAGTTCATTTTGTCTCTTTAGTTGGGAGTTTTTTTTTTTTGCTTACTGGTAAGGGGATCGCAGCCCTCGGCACGGTGTGGTCTGCACCACGCTCAGCCACACCGGCCGTCCCTATATAGGATCAGAACCCACGGCCTCAGCGCTTCCAGTGCCGCACTCTCCCAAGTGAGCCATGGGGCCGGCCCGGGAGATTTTTTTAAATGGTCTTCTGTGCAGTATTCTGAAGGTGAAAGGGACTTGGATTTTCTTATGTTCTAAGATACATATTTTCTGTATACTTATAATTCTAATTTGATTGTAACCACTTTTATAGGAGTAAAAGGAGAGAAAAATCTGAGAGTTAGTTTAAGGAGGTACTTACTTTTTTCCTAGGAAGTAAATTCCGCCATAACTGGTAACTTCTATCAGGCTTATTATGAAACAGCGTGCAGGGAAGCATACAATACTGCCACTTAGATGATAATAGACAGTGTTACAGTACTTGTATGAAGTACAAGATATTCATTGTAGCCATTATTTTGAGCAATTGTCAGTTAAAATTTTTAAAAATCTGCTCCTGTATTTGAGGAAACAATTGCTTGAGGATCAGGAAGTTACTTTTAGTTATTTGTATTTGGTACATTTCATCTTTTTCTAAAAAAAAAAGTTTAATTATAAAAATAATACATACTCATTATGAATTTAAAAATTTATTGTAAAATAGAAAGGAAAAAGAAAACCCTTAGTTCTACTATCAGAAGGCAACTGCTGTTAATATTTTGATATTATTTCCTGTAGTTTGACAGTTTTTATATCATTTTGAGCACATTGCAAATCAGTTTTGTGCCTTGTTTTTTTCCTTATGTTTATAACATATTTCTGAGTTATAAATATCAAGCAGTTTAATTGAAGAGCAATAAGGCTAAAGAAAAAAAAAAGGAGTGGAAAAATACTTGGTATGAGTCCTTGAGTTCTTGAGTATTAATTCCTGTGAGTTTGCTGTTGGAGAGAATTGACTTGGAAATATATTTTAATGCAAATTTATTTATATTGAAAGAACTAGTAGTATTTGTTCAGTTACTAGGCCTTAAGTGTGCTGAAGGCTTGTGGACTAATGTGAAGGGATTCTTGCAAATTCCTAGGATAGATTTGTTTTGTTTGTTTTAATAGTTTATATATATCGGATGTAGAAGACAGTTTTGTCATATAAAGTATATTATGTTTGATATAACTTTATATACACATACTTTATAATTTGATGATGAATAATAAGATTTTGAATAATAAAAAACCTGCATCTTAAAGCAGTGACTTATTTTTATAATCTGAGGTCCATATGCTTTTTTTTTTTTTAATGCATTCTGTACTGTTCCTTCATTAGTACTCAAAAAAGATGCCACATTCAGAAAACTAGATTTCTGCATTATTTAGCTTAAAGTTTCTTTTCTTTTTTAGGTTTTAATGATCGGCTTTGAATTTGACAACAAACTTTTCCCCTCATCTTTTTGGCTTTGTGTAGATCTACCTTCTCCCTTAGCAATTTCTTATACACTTACTTTTGTAAATTTTTACATTTCTAGAAAAAAGTAAAAGCTTGAATCTGTATGCAAACTTTCAGAATAATGATAGGAACAATAAAGTTAGTGTTAAATCTTAAATTCATATGTTACAATGAATAAGTATACTTTGTCTAGAGTTTAAGATGTATAGTTTGGGAATAGAAAACTCTTATCTATGTCTAACAGGTTATTTTAAATTGACTTGAGTACTGACTGTGAGTAGTTGCTTTTCTTAGGTCTTGATTTCTCTATGGCATAAACTTTTATTAAAAATATTTAGCCTAAAATAATAGAGTATACAATGCTTTTTTTGTGACCAACTCATAAAACTCCTAAAGAGAGATTGTATTATTCTTGGTAATCCAAAGTGCATCATTACAAACTAAGAATGCATGTGAGTATATTGTAAAAAAGGCTTATTCCCTTGATGTACATTATAAAATAGTGGGAAACAGATGAATGCCCTAAAGAAAAATGGCAAAGGGCATTAATAGAAAGTTGTCAGTGCTAGAGAAAAATTGCCAAGAAATATAAAAAAAAGATTTAACATTCTTAAGAAATCAAAGAAGTTTATATTAAAGCTACACTGAGACCGCAGTTTGGCCTATCACAGTAGCAAAGGTAAGAACATTCCCAGCATGTCAGCATAGAAGACAAGTACTCTCATACACAAACCTGGCAGGGGTATAAGTTGGTATTAAAAAGAATATATTGTTGGACCTAGAAATTACACTGGATTCAGTCTATCCTGAAGAAATAATAAAAGTCTCATGCAGAGAATTAGTTACAAGAATATTGATTACAGCATTATTTTTTATAGCAGAAAATTGGAAATAAATTAGTTCAGTTTTAGTGGACTATTTAAATTATGATTTACCTTAGTGATGAAATTTTATGACATTCACCCATTTTGTAATTTTTGATATTTATTGACATGCCAAAATTTTTGTGATATAGATTAATCATCCCTAATCTGAAAATCTGATATCCAAAATGCTCCAGAATTCAAAACCTTTTGAGCACCAACATCGTGCTCAAAGAAAATGCTCACTGGAGCATTTTGGATTTTGGATTTTTGGATTTGGGATGCCCACCCTGTATAAGTATCTGCAAATGTTCTAAAATCCAAAAGAATTCAAAATCTGAAACACTTTTGGTTCCCTGCATTTTGGATAAGGGATAGTCACCCTATATGTTATGTGAGAGTAGAGGGGAGAAGAGTAGTAATGGTTCTTTCTGAATAGTGGGATTATTAATATATGAGATTATTTTAATTTTATCTCCTATATTTTCCATTTTTTCCCTTCCCTTGAACATACATTGCTTTTCAAATAAGGAAGCCTATTTTTATTTTAAAAACCCATTAGAAATGATCACATTTTTGTTTTGATATACCTGAAACCCATTTTCAAATAGTTGTTGCAGAAGCTTAATTGTTATTTGTGTGGGTTTAATTTTGTCTGTCTCTAAGAAAGTGCCAAAAGAAAGGAAAAGATCCAAATAATGATATTTTGAGAGTGCACAATAAATCAAAACTCTACTTCTTGTCCTGGGGCTCAGCGGCCTATGTAGCCGAGTAGGCTTTCTTGGGAGTGATTGGTTGTGGACCTGAGTGGATTTATAGAAACACGTATAACTCCTTGAATGTTGAAAGTTTGTCTGTGTGTTGCAATGTACTATAATTTAACTCTGACATTAATCACCTGGAGTTAGCATCAGACCCCACCGGTTTAAGGTCACAGTCCTCAACAAGATTGCCCTCACTTTAGTTTCAGGTGCAAGTTTGACAATCCCAAGGCTAACCACAGTTCTGACCAACTTGCTACAAACCCAGAAGGTTCCCTTGATCCTGTCAGGTTTGGTGGTTGGCTAGAACAACTCAGAACTCAGGAAAGCATTATACTTTTGATTACAGGGTTTTTTTGTTTTTTTTTTTTCACCTCTGTTTTATAAAGGATACAAATCAGGACCAGCCAAATGAAGATACACATAGGGTGAGGTCTGGGGGTATGTACATCCCTAATGTGGAGCTCTTCCACTCTCTCCCAGTGGAATCATGATTAGCACCCTCCTGGAACGTCAATGTATTCACTAACCAGGCAGCTCCTCTGAGCTTCGGTGTCTGA